CACGTGCTTAGTGTTCTGTCTACTTAATCGGAGGGAACGTGATCAGTTGCGCTCTCTCATCGTTTCCTCACAACCATGGCTGGCTCGAAGGATCGTATCCTCAACAAGGCGCAAGTGGCGGCGGTTGGCGCCATCCTGCGGGATGAATTTGGGCCCATCGTTGCGACATTAGACCCCCAGTTTACGGGTTACGCTGCCGTCTCGCTTTGGGCTTCCGTGCGTCAAACTCGCCTCTTCGAGGAGAACCCGGTCTTTTATGCGACGGCGAGATTTGGAAGGTCTCAATCTCCTGTCGGCAGGGTTTGTGCACCCCCTTCCCTTGTGTTCGTCTCGCTGAATTCCTCTTCAGGCAGTCGACCGGAAGTTCCGCAATTATTATCGCAGATTGCGGTCTGCCCACGCAAATGCCCTTGCCGAAAATCAAGATTGAAGCGAACCATCGGTATGCTCTTCATGCACCCCAGCCAGGTCCATGCCTTACCATTTGACTTGCAGTCATTCACCTTCACCGTGTCCCCCTCGACCTGAGGGACCTGACCCGCTCGTCCCATAACATACTTCGTTGTCGTCTCAAAGAGTCGTGATCTGCCTGTTTGTACTGTTCATGTTGCTCGGCTATCGCATGCTTCATCTGCAAGCATTCTTGACTGTTATACTCAATCCTTTGCTCTCAACTTCACAGTCTACTTGATTAGTGAAGATGCGGCTGCTATCATGTCTTCGGACAGGAAATCAAAACACGACGTCGTTGAGAACAGTGAGCTTGAGCTGATAAAGTCTTTGCGGGTAACCTTTGCTGTCTGGGCATCGTGGAAAATAGCGCGAGCTAGGACTTAAGAAGCCACGCTTCACTCGCCAGGAGGGGACCCCGGTACCCATCAGAACGGACCCTTTCTATAATGTAGCGGTTCTTTGATAGTCTAGTGTTCAAGACACGAGAGTGTTCGCGATGATCAAAAGAGCCAGCGCATAGGCCCGTCTCATGGAGCGCTGTAACCCTTCAGGAGCTGACGGGAGTTTACATACCGAATAAGCGAGCGGCACCGAGAGCTCTCACCATCGCTGCGCCACTTACAAGTACGTGAGGTTGATCAATGCGTTTCATAGTACGCACGCTCATCAGAAGACCGCAGGGTCCCGCTCCAGCATCGAACACCAGACCTTTATGCTGATGATCCAGGCCGTTGCTGGTATGATAAAGTGAGCCACGAAACATCCTTGATCACAAAGACTCCTTCTACTATGTCTCCCTCCAAGGGCGCTCTTCGCGCCCATGTCCTAAAGTCTATAGAAGAAGACTATCGTCGGGCATTGAAGTCACTCGCGGGACCTATTGACATGGATCTGGTCGCATATCGGCGTCGTCGCTGCAAAAGTCTCGGTCATTATCTTCGGAAAGACATCCAGTGTCTTACTGGAACCCCTGACGACGGACGATGGTTCGTCGAGGCGCGTCTTTCGGTGCTATCTGCAGTTAGACAAACACTCACTTCGACGGCTGCGTAGTGCCCTTTGTCCCATCCCGGGGACGTCACAGGCAGCGGCAGCGTATTTATATACGTCTCTTGTCGTCTTGATACAAAGGATCTACAGGAACTACGAGATGACATGCTCGCTCGTAAATTACAGGCTCAACAAGTATTGCCTTCTGGATCTGAAGCCGTCGCTCAAGTCTGTTCCGCTCAAGCGTGTAGCATTGGAAAACGATAAGCTGAGATCAACCATGCAGAGGGCTGGTGCCACACCCGCTACGCGCACTCCTGGCCGGGAACTGCGCGCCGAAGCAGCGAGACCGTATGCAAGCCGCGCCGGCTCGTCTACAGGCGCTCTCCGTGCACTCCTCTTCCCGGATATCCCCAAAGCCACGGTCCCAAGCTCGTCTCAAATACCATGCATTGAGATCTCGGATTCGGATTCGGAAACAGAGTCTCGTCGGCATCAGAACATCCAGTCGCGCAGTCCCAGCTTCGAGCTTATCACGGTGCCGCCGCCACTTAGATCCACTTTTACGGTGTGGCTTTTCTTGAAGGTGAGCTCCAGGGTCACGACACACTGCCTACTTTGCGCCATTAATCAACCTTTGTCAATCCAAATGCAGAGTTGCGAGCCTCCCGAAGTTGTTCACATTAAACCGCACCATGACGCCGACGTCGTACTCTTCCGGGAATACGATAGTCAGTGGGAGAAGTTAGGTCTCAAGATATCAGAGCGGGTCAAGATTCTGGCAGCCTGTGCCGGGGGGGGATACTTGTGGCAATTCGGCCGTCTTTGCAACATAGGTGTTCCTGTCCATGTGGGGGCTATTGTTCTCGCGGGATTGGATGTGGAAGATGACCATACACACATGAAGGCTCTCGCCAAGCATGCCTTCACAGGAGGTTGTACGTCCGATTCCTAATCATACCGCGATTTGATACTCAAATGCAGCCGGCAGTTATGAAGGATATTGATTAGGTCACTTTATGAACGATTAAGCTCGTCGACCATAAGGTCGAGGATATGTTGACGGCCCTAACCACGGTTGCCAAAGAGATGTTTGTCCGTCGAAGGCAGCTGAAACGATGTAGATTAGCTATTCAGTTTCCACATAGCCTCTCTCCGTGCATGTAGATCAATTTCACGTACCTGTAACATCTTTCGGTCATTAAAACGATCATGCGAATGGTCTCCGATGCTGGAGGTTCCGACTTGAGCGCCTGAGCTTGCGAGCGCCGCGTCGTCGGGTCGGGGACTTCCGTGGAGTTCCCACGATGGCTTCCCCATCAAGCTTAGTGATATATGGCTAGGACGACCATGGGCGACGTTGTCCTCTCCTCGGCCACCACGCCTAAAGCTGGGCGTCATGGTGCCGCGAGGTCTCGCGTCTGACTCCATACCATCAGCTTGTCGCTGCAGCATCGCATCTTGTTCAAGCGCCTGATGTGCCCTTGCCGTCTCGCTAGGCACATTCGAGAGCGGCTGCCCGTGTGAGCTATACCGTTCGGCCTCCAATCTCACGCTCTGCAACGCTATGCCTCAAGATTGGAAAACGATGCTCAGGTTTGCACTGCCAGCGCTCTTGCGACCATCATCATTTATCCCGTAACCATCAAATCATATATATCGCCATTGAGCACTTGAGCATGGGTCGCCCGACATTCGCGGACGTGTCACAGCTTGAGCGGGGAATACGCCGTCCTACTATTTAGCTCACCAAGTGGACATACCCACGGGTCGCACTCGAGACACAGGAGCTTCTCTGCCTCACGCTATGAAGAACAAGGACGACACTGGCACGCGCCACTGGGATCCATTCGTGCCGTTCGCCGCTCGTGTTATAGAGGAGTTACAGCATTCTGTTGGTGACGATTATGGGCCTATCCTGTCTCCTATGCGGTCAATGGCCTCCTTGAAGACAATGGCTCCTGTTATCGGGCAACCTACGTTTCCTAATCGCGAGATCCTCTATCTCAAGGTTACCAGTGTACTCTGGCTGCTTGCTGAACTCATAGAAAAGCAGAAAGAGGTGAGCTCAGCCCGTTCGATGTTGTTGCCGGCCCTGACAATTGCTTCAGCATAGCGACATCTGGCTCCGAACCGTCAGCGTCGTCTACGGTCTTTACACATTCAGGGTGTATGATTCGGTGGGACTTCAGGGTCGGCTTGAGCGCAACTCGGAACGTGCACATCACTTCGCGCGGTACCTTCAGCCGGTCAACTATATTGCACACCGGATCTCGATGGCTTTAGCGTGTACGCCGCCGACTGCACCTCCGATTCGAAGGTTCCTATGGTGCCAGTTGTATCAAATCTTCAGTCAATGCTTGTACGCTCTTCGTATCACTGATACCGTGTGGTCTGAACTCATAAAGTCTCAGGATAAGCGGGCAACAAGCCGGGACTTTCTACCGTCAACTGCGCAGCTCGTATTCGGCCAGTTATCTGCGTCTTCTGTACGGGAATCTGAACACCCGTCGTCACACAATGGGAATACAGCCCGTGTCCCTTCTCGACGTAGCGGAACAAATCTCCCGTCCCGTCGAAGGAATGCAGGAGCAGTGTGCATACATTGGCCGCTTATTGGCTGGAAGCACCGCGCCTGCGGCACTCGTTTCCAGTCTGTTGCCTGAGCAACTACACGCGTTACGGCCGGCGGCCAGAATCTGGCCCAGAACTCGAGATTTTTGCTCCGTCTGCTCCTTGCAGCTCATGTGCCCGCAAGACCGTCGGCTATGTTCTCGTTGCAGACGTCTCACTTACTGTGGACCAGCATGCCAGAAAAGGCGAGTGCAGCACGCCACATTGAGGGGTTTTGCCGCTCACTGGAGCTTGATAGGAGCTGGAAGACAGGCCACAAGGAGGTCTGCTCAATCTTTAGACAGATAGACGCACGCTTGAGGGAGCCGTCGGTGAAAGTGGCTATAGCTGGCCTTCCGCGGGGTATACCCAGCGACTTCCTTGAACAGCAGCCGTAATGAGCGGGGCTTTATCTGCTTTGGATAGCAATGTTGAAGTACCCACATGTTTTGTATACGCTGTCTATTCAGGGCGAAGTCTCAAACACACGTTAGACGCGATAGAGTGAGCTTCGATTGGCCGAAAGCTTGGTAGCTACCCTCCTCTCGTCTGCCACCAACCCTAGATAGGCAATGTTGGTATGGGTCTATGGCACCCCAAGTACTTTACGAGCGATGAACGCATAGCACCGCGTAGAAGTGAAGAATATGATGCAACGAGTCGTCGAAAGTCGGAGAAACATACATCAGGGAAGATGCGCCGGGCGATAAACGGAGCCCGACTACTGCTCTCTTGGACGACACTCCGGAACTTGCTCGTAATGATGGCTCACGGAGAAGGCGAAGGTGTGTACTTGGTGCATGTGGTCGTTCAGTCTCAGTGAGTCGAAGGCGTATACTAGGGGAAAACATTACGAACACTAGTACTGCAGACGTTCAGAGTAAGATATGTTTCGAGACCAGTTGGTACATAGACGACGCCTTACGACCTCTTCTCTTTAAAAGCTTCCGCAAACCCGTCGACCTGCGCTTCGGTGAAACCTTCACAGGCCTTCGCCTTACAGTAGCTTACAGTCTCTTCCACCTTTGTCTCCCTTCTGCGAATTCCGCGCCCACTCATAGTCGTTTTCGATAATGTCTCCGCTCATTATGCGCTCGCCGCCTAGTTGGCATCGCGCTGCATCAGCACGTCGAGGAGAGCATTCGGCGCTGCTGTGAGAGCCTTCCGAGCATCGTATCAGCGATGGCCTGAAGGGCCGCAGCTCAGATGTCTAGCATGATCGCCCGGAAGTCCTCACACGTGTCTGAACCTATCGCGTCACTTAGCGTGATAATTCGGACGGCTGTGTATCGTGCCACGGATAATCCCAGCGCTGACGTCGATACAAAGGCGGCGCGACCTAGTGATGTAACGGTCAGAACGTTCGCATGTCTTCTCTGTCATGCCGGAGCCCCAAGCCTTTGCCTACTGCTACTACGCATCGTTTAGTCAGCTAGGCGAGTAGCTGCCAGGCAGGGCTGGTCAGCAGTGCCCGATATGCGGCTGAACGCGCGAGGACGAGGGAGGGGCGGAGTGCAGTGACGCGGCGGCTCCGAGCCGCGTGTTTGATTGACGCGCACACGTGTGCTGCCGCGTGTGTCGCAATTCGCGTCGCCGCCTCCCTCGAGCTCCATCTTTGAGATCCCCATATAGCCTTACTTCACATCTAGGGTCTTACGAGTGCGCCGGAGCACTTCAAGTGATTATTCTTGCAAATCCGAAGGGCACCGTGTCGTTATCTGCCAGAAGACGAGGTAAGACTCAAGGAGGATAGAATCCTTGCATCAGCATCAGTACAGAAGTATAGGTGCCTGAGCCACGATAGCGGAAGACAGCGTACGAGGCGACGACGCGAATTGCGACACACGCGGCAGCACACGTGTGCGCGTCAATCAAACACGCGGCTCGGAGCCGCCGCGTCACTGCGCTCCGCCCCTCCCTCGTCCTCGCGCGTTCAGCCGCATATCGGGCACTGCTGACCAGCCCTGCCTGGCAGCTACTCGCCTAGCTGACTAAACGATGCGTAGTAGCAGGAGGCGAAGGCTCAGGGCTCCGACACGACAAGCAAGAGATGGAGATAAAGTCGCGCGCGTGTCTTGTTCATTAATTCGCGTTGATGTTGTGAGGGAAATGCAGCGAAGAACAAGACTAATGGTAGAAGCTCCGAGCGCTCTGACAGCCCTGGTACGCGATGCGTCACCCTAACCTAACTTAGGATATATTCAGGACTTCGCTCGACAAATACTCCGCAAAGGCTGCGTCGTCGCCCAAGTGTGTTCCAAGGATTAGTTTGCGCTTCTCGACCATTTCAGCGCTCGATCTATCATGTAAGAATAGAACGTTGTCCCGATGTATGCTCTCCCTAGCGAGAGATAGTTGTCAATCGCCGCGCACGAATCAGGTACAGATGTGCTCACAGGTGATTGAGTAGATTTCGCCGATCGAACATGTCATTAGCTCGCTTACACCCGCCGATGGGACAACTCAGAGTCTTCGCCGCGTCCAGAAGAGATTGGTTGTATACCGACCTTGCCTTCTTCAAGCGTCGTTTCTGAGTTTTGGTCAAGGCTTCGTCCGCGTTTGGCCGTTTGCAGGGGAGAAGTGTTGACGATGAAACAGCTGCACGAGGGATAGGGGTGGGCGAGGACAGTGCAGGAGCTACAGAAAGTATGTGACCAGTAGACAGCTAACAACGCGCACAGCTTACCTTGAGAATTAGTGAGAGAAGAAGCGGCCTCGCCGTCATCGACGACAGGCCTCTGCGCAATGGAGTTAGTCGGGTCGTTGGAGAGGTCAGAACCATCAGGTGCGTAGTCGTAGTCGTTCTCGCCGCGGGCTGCGACCGTCGCGCCTATGGATAGTCAGCGCGTAACTGTTCATGAGGAAAACCAGACTGACGCTCGTTGACGTGAAGGCTGACCGGCATGTACACGGGGGCTGCAGAGTAGGTCGAGATCCAAGGATTTGAGTTGGGATCAGAGCGCGTCTCGGCTAGATTCTCCATCTTCCAACGTTGATACGTCCACCAGCACATAGAAGCGAGTTGCAGAACGTCTTCGGAGTCTCTATCACCGCAAGCCAACCGGTGTTCTCGAAGCTCTTCACTAATCTTTTGTGAGTACGAGACGTTGACCGATGTCACAAAGTCAACAGCAATCTTGATGCAAGGGGTCAAGTTGGTGACCTAACGATCGTTCACTTCAGCACCAACTGGTTTCGCGAATTGCTTACTTGGTGGCCGACGCCAGCGGGAATGAAGACAGCCTCTCCTGGTCGTTGCACGAGGGTCCAAACGCGGACCTTGGCCAATCTCAAGGCTTGAACGTCCTCGTCGGTCAGGTGGAGCTGCTGAGAATGAATCGGGTGCCCTTCTCCAAAAGAACCGCGTTTCCATTCGCTCAGTAATTGCCCAGCACGCGACATATCATTACGGTCAATCATCGTCCACACCGCGCCGCCTTTCGATCCCTTCTCCGCATGAAACATCATGTTGGTAGCGTCTGTCACATCGCAGTGAAGACGCGTCGTAGTTCCGCCAGCCGCGCCGTGAGCCAGATAAGCCTTGGGACCTGAGCCGAAATCAATACTGGAGCGTAATCCGCCTCCCGAGCGAGGTTATTGCGCACCTGTGTCTGGCGGGCACGAGTTTACCGGCATGTTCGTTTCGAGATTAAGGGGGCCTCTTCTTGACGTAATCCAAGGCCCTATGAGACAGTCCTCGAACAGATCGAATATTTCTGGAAACTTCTGCGCAAAGTCAGCCGTAGGCGGCCAGTCCTGGAAGCGGCATGTCAGTGCTGACATGGCGTATCAGATGAAATGAGTAAAAACCTTTAGTTTTTCCGGATTTTGAGTATCTATCGGGCCGCCAAATCCGCCCATGAAGTGCTTCAATGCGACTTTTTGTTGAGAACCCGTCTTCGTGTTGGTGAGTGTGATGTTAGTGTCGCCGTGCTTATGTATGAAGTAGTCGGGCGTGAGATTGCGGTCGCCCGGATGGATGCCAGAGATTGTCATGGGGATGCCTTCCGCGAGAGCGCGATATAGCCTCGAATAAGTCAGAATGTCGGAGTTGTTTTGTAAGTTCAGTCTTATGGGCTCCCTGACCAAGGGTGGAGGACTAGGGTGTCTCATACTGGTGGGATGTCAGCGGCGCATACCGAGATCGAGCCAGGAGACTTACAGAGCGGGTCGATCCCGGAAGAAACGCAAAGCCTCTTCTGCCTCGCCAACCTTGAAGACTTCGAGCAGCACGAGGGCGTGACGAGTTGCCTTGCGACCCTTCGCACAGGGAAGAGAGTCTAGCTGTATCCAGAGTCCGACACGTCAGACATATCTTCCATGCTTGTCGGCATATGCGGAGCACAAACCCGTTCCTCGCGTACACACGCGTAACAAAACTCTTGACCACAGAATTTGCATAGTCGCACGGCGCAAAATAATGAAGACCTACAAACATCTACCATTGGTTCAATTGAGTACAGCGGCAAACTAGATATTACAACCGCAAATACCACAGGTAGAACGAGTGCCATCCAATCTTGGCACCCAGGGAATGACGGCGTCGCAATCTTTCCGCAACAACAGGTGATCGTTGATGTGCCCCTCAATCCCCTCTAGGCATCCCTCCTAAGTTCGCCTATTAGCTTTGTACCATGCACGGCCTCCGCTTTGCCTCACCAGACACGCCAGAGCCGTCTCTAGCGTCCTATTGGGTGGTGCCGACTTAAATTCGATTTTGACATCCTGATGGAAGCCCTGCAAACAAATTTCCAATAAATGGTATTCAGGCCCCGAGGTGACTCGAAAGGTGCGCTGCTCGAGGACGTTTCCCTTCTTGTCTGCGCCTAGAGTGACATGCCGAGATCAGCAATATCTTCCCAAACTTCATCCACAGCCTATCTCACGGTAGAACTGGCAATCCTTGGTACGTCCCTGTGAGCAGCGCGCACATACGCCAAGCTCTTCGGGAAATAATTTGGCTCGGGATCTGTTGAAAGTTGCGCAAGTGTTAGTCTGAACGACTATTTCGGTCATGGCAGTCAAGACGAACTCCGCATGACGTGGCTCAATCACTGCCGGGTAAGCGGCCCGATTCCCGTCTGTGTGGAGCGCCGAGCGCTGAGCGCTGAGCTGTCATCACATCACCCATCTTGTGCGTGGACAGACGCGTCTCTAGAAGATCATTATGGTATCTCATATGGGCGTTTGCGCGTGCGTTGGACCGCGGAAGTGGGTGGAAACACGAGGCAAAGCCGAGCGTCCAAACCTCTTCAGGTCGGCAACTCGAGCAACCTCTCGACGAAGTACCGTCGCTCTCGGCTTCGAGAGGGGTTGGCGGGTGGGACGAGGGTTGTCTCTCACGAATCTACTGGAAGTTGATGCCTGGGAAAGGGCGTCGCAGCGTCGCGCTACCTCGGTTGATAGCCTCGTGCTATCAACCCTAACCCAATCTCTGATGGTTCTCACACACGACACCTCACGCGGCGTTCTCGACCCTCTCCTAGCCTCTCTCGAATGCAAACTTTGCCTGACTGACACGTTTCTACAAAGCATGCAGACGTTCCCCCATACCAATATGCGGCATCTTGAGGACTTCGAATATGTCGCTCTCAGCAGAATACGATGCAGGAGTATACTTGACTCTGCTTGACACTTGAGTCCTAGGCGCCGCGGGCGAGACTTTGCTCGTGCTCAACGCTCACCGACATGCTAAGTGCAGATGATAGACCCAGTCCGACTCGGAGAAGGGAAATAACGGAAAGGCACGAACACGGGGGACAAACGCGAGTTTCGCGAAAGGAGAAAGGATCAGTACTGAGACGACCCTCAAGCGAGGCGACCTGGTGAGGCCCCAAGCCCTCCTGCGGTATTTCTAACCGTGAAGATCGGCATGCCAATGAGCCTGAGCGTCCAGGAGAACATATACGTCCAAAAAAGATCTCAACGTTAGCGATGTATGATGACTGCGAGACTAGCACCCAATGGGATGCTTGGAAATGAGAGACCAGTGCGCTGTGTGATGGATTTCGGGCTGTGTCGGCAAAAGCAGAACCCTACAGGGCAGCTGAGCATCTGCAGCTAGAGAGCATAGGGTCGAGATCGGACCGAATAGGGCAGCTGGGGCGGACAGTCGCTCTCGGATGTGCCTAGCGAGACGGCAAGGGCGCATCAGGCGCCCGAACAAGATGCGATGCTGCAGCGAGAAGCTGACGGCATAGAGCAAGACGCGAGATCTTGCGGCACCGTGCTCTGAAACCATTGATATGAGACCCAGCTTCAGGGGTGGTGGCCGAGGACAAGACAACGTCGCCCATGGTCGTCCTAGCCATATACCACTAAGCTTGATGGGGAAGCCATCGTGGGAACTCCACGGAAGTCCCCGCACCCGACGCCGCGGCCCTTGCAAAAGCTCACGCGCTCAAGTCGGAACCTCCAGCATCGGAGACCATTTGCATGATCGTTTTAACGACCGTGAGAGTGATACAGGTTCGTGATTTCGATTCAAAGACATGAACAGAGGCTATGGGAAAACCAAACCGGCTAATCTACATGGTTTCAGCTACCTTCAATGGATAGACATCACTTCGTCGGGTAGAATTCAAGTTGTTGATGACGAGCTCCGGGGTTCGACTGCAGTTCACCAACTCAATCTCGTGAGCGACTGGCCCGAGCGCTTGAGCATCAAGTTGCAGCGCGACTTGAGCCAAGAAATACAGCTTTCATGTGAGTGTGCTCAATAAACGTATTCGCGCGCATGTCAAACTTCTTCGCGTCTAGGCCTGCAAGAATGATACCGCACGTGGACGGATTGTGCACGTCGCGAATGTTGCGGGATGATTAAGGGCCCTCGTCATCTCGTATAGGCCTCCAGAGCCATAACCCCTTCAGCGAGCTTCTCCTGGTGTTTATTAGACTATGAAGGCCGTCGATTCCTGAATCACACACTGAACAGCGTGTGAAGCAAGTTACCAGCGGAGCACAATCCCAGTGACCGTAGCGCCTTCACAAGGTTAGCGTGTCAAGCAAGAGCTCCAGTAGCGAGGCGGACTCTTGCTGATGAGAAACCAGTCTCACTCCGCGATCAACCTGTGCAAGCAGTGTCTATTGAATCGTAAACTCGCCCGGGACTCAAGAGTGCATCAGTCTTCGTGGTCTGCCACTTCCAGTGCACCCGCGAAGACGCATCAAACGCTAGTAGCGCTGACGCTGATGAATTCAAATAACGACAGCGGTTGTCATCGAAATGTAAACGAAAATTCAGGACTTAAATCTCGTTTCCACGTCTCACCGTCATCCCACTCCTCCTCCCGCTGTTTACTAGCGTCGACGTCGCGCATCGTCTCCACCTCTGCGTAACCTGAACCTTCTCTCCTATATGCCTGCGCACGCGAAGACAACCGGCTCAACGCACGCGGAAGCAACGAAGCGCGGCCGTGGCCGTCCGGCCAACACCAACGCCCCGCAGAAGCGTATGATGATCGAGGACATTGCAGAATATCGCAGTCTCAAGGCCAGAGGCGCGCCGCAGGTGGACATCACAGCGGCTATCAACTCGGAAACTCGGAAAATCATCCAGCACTTCGGGTGGATGGATCCATTACGCGCCGTATCCCCAGTGACACCAACGGAGGCCAGCGATCATCCGCCGAACGAGCTCGAACAGAAGCGAAGGGACGCCGTGTACAAGAAGGTCCGAGCGGTGCGTTATCTGGTCAGCCAGCATCTGATTACCAGCGCTCACATCTGCTATAGGAAGTGAGGAAGGTCTGGCGGGAGAACCTGTCGGCCAAGCCTTCTGAAGTAGTCGACAAGTCATCAACTGCGATCGCGGAGCTGATCAAACTCTTCGCCCGCAAGCCCCGTCACAAGCAGCTTTATAAGGTTTGGGCCGCATCGCGAGCACGCCCCGACCTGGAAGCGGAAGTGGATAAGCGTCATGCCGCCAAGATGCAACAGAGTGCGCTCACTACAAACACTACTCCACGTGTGGCAACATGGAATGAGGTGGCTTCGGAGTGGTACCATATGGCGAGCAAGAAGGAGAAGAAGGCGACTCGCAAGGAGCGCAAGCGCATGTATAGGCGGGACAAGAAGGCTTGGGAACTTAGCGCGTCCGCGATGCCCGACTCCCCTGAAGAGGCTATCGAGTGAGTCTCTTACCTGATTGCGTCTTACATGCCTGATATTATCTCAATAGTTTCATGGAGGCGTCACAAGGCTTCCTAAGCGATCTCATGCACTTCTTCGCGAATAGGGCTTCAGGGATAGCCGTTATGTTCTTGAGTGGCCCCGACGGTGCTAGATTGATGTACGCCGTCGTACAGTCTCTTTACTTTGTGAACTCATGGCTCGATCAGCTCGGAAGGCGTGTGTAACGTTTCCGAACGGCCCAAACTACTTTATACCGAAGTGAACCCAGAAGACTGCGAACACTTCGAACACGGATTGGCGAAGCAAACTCAGATTCTGAACGGTGAGCAGCGCTCGCCTTCTCCAAACCCGCTGAGTAGTCACGCCTCCTTCGATATGACGCTTCAGAGGCAAGATGGGGTGCAATATCTGCTACTCCTTATCGGTGCGCTGCAGCCGACAAGAACGGCGACGGTGATATCGAAAGCGGGAATGTCGAATTTGAAGGCATAAACCTCGAAGGCGAGGGTGTTAATGCCGGGAATGGTGATAGCTACGTCGAGGACGAAGCCGACGACGACAACGAAGAGACAGACAGGCTCGAGTTTCTGATGCTGCATCCGCCTGCTCAGCAGGAAGCCCAGGCCACGCGCTCGCACAGATCTTCCGGTATCCTTCGTTTATTTCCGAACCAGCAACAGCTCACCGATTCCTCACAGATGCAAGCACCTACGACCCGCTTTCGATACAGCTTGATGCCGAGACCAACATTTATGAGCCGAACTCTGACGATGATCCTCCCTTCGTGAGCAAACCAACGTGATCGCGCTCCTTCTTTGAAACATATCTGTCGTAGGCCAACCTAGTTGATGACATAACGCCCACTCCGAACGCCTGCATGGCAACGTACTTTGCATTCGATGCAGGGAAGAACTATACACAGTCGACAATGGATGCGGTGCGCCCAATCACACGGTTTTCCACATAGATGATTGCTCATGATCAGAATCAGATCGAGTACACCCGCCTATTTCGCGCCATCTTGCCTAAAGTCTTGCCTCATAAGCCGTGGTTGGAAGAGTCTAATACGGTGAACTTCCTCAGATCGGTCCCGAACAAGCTTGGGGATCGGATAGGCGCGCAGCTAGCATGCGATCTCAGCATGGCATACCTGAATTTTGAAGCTAGCAAGCTGGTAAGTATGGTTCTAGGCATGCGTACTGGTATTATGCGGCTGACACTAATGCGATCATAGGACGAGTTCCCTCTGGATATGAAGACAGTAAAGACGTCGGATGGGTCTGATGCTATCCCACCACCGGACTACGTGGCAGGTCTACAGTCAAGATCATTTACGTCTCGATGGAACGGTAGAGCTGGCAAGGGCGAGTTCAGGACACCGGCGAAGCTGGATGCAGACATCAACATTAGGCTGCCTCACCAGTGGGCACTTCTACAACCGAAGGAGCGTTTGGACGAGCAAGGGCGCATATGTCGCACTGCTGACGTAGATATGAGCTGGAAGAAAGCTCTGGCACCCGGCATAGACGGTGCACGTCTGCTCGTTGTGACAGCCTTGGTTTGGGTATGGAACCTTCGGGATGAAGAGCGCTCCCAGTGGTCATACTTGGCGATCGACATGATCCAGGTCCTTCGCATCTTGTGTCATCAGGATAGCCTTCTAGGAACTCGCGATTCAACAGCGGCAATACGTCGAAATGAGGGTGCCGTACCCGAGGGACGCAAAAGATCGGCGCGCGAGTGGTATGTTCGAGACTAGTCTGCAGGACGACGATAGCTGATGATAGTCTCACAGGAAGAAGAGCGCAAAGCTTCGGGAACTTGAAGGAACTATCTAATACCTAGATACTCGATAGTCTCACGTATGGCGCATACATCGTCAATTTGGTACTAATCAACGGGCATGAGCACATGCAATAATATACGATGCCACGGTCCGCGTTCCGTGATAGTCCATTGGATATGGGATTCCCGTGCCTAGAAAGCTTGAGGCTAACGCGTGTACGAACAAATTCGAAGGAGCTGGGGAGGACATCGTTACGACAGAGCGTCCCAATCGCCTGCTCGGACCAGCTTTGCGAATCTCACACTCAAGCTGCGCCTATCGCACGGCGCCGTCGTTTTTCCGTGTTGCAGACGGTAGTACGCTTGATTCAGCTGTACACGCCTAGAAGATAGCGAGTCATTTTCAAGCAGTAAGCATGCACGATGTAAGGACCGATACATCAAAACGTGACAACTTGCAAGCGAGCACCGAGTCTGAAGTACAGATCAACACATTTTGGATTCTAAGTTCGAGCCAAGTAAATAATCTACGTGGTCAATGACCGAGCATGGCCATGCCTGCACCCGCATTGAGCCAGAACGTGCGTCGCGTCAATTGACAACACGCCCGATGATAGGTATAGGGGGTAGCAGTCAGGCAGGAGAGCGTCGTGAGGGATCGTTCGGCAGCTTGGAGGGCGCAACAAATAAGGTAGTCGTATCGGGTGAAGTTTGTGAGTGCGCCTTCAATCCATTACAGGAATTTGGCGAGGAAGTAAACTGGGATTCATGGTAGTGCGTGAATTGTGAAGGGGAGTGAGAGCTGCGAACAGTTCAGCGAAGGACGCTCGCAAGTACACGTCTACGACACCGATGGAGGGAGTCTTCCTGAATGAGGGGTAATCACCCCAATGCAGCGCGGCGTTGACGCTTGGAACTCCCCTTCTCACTGTGATCGCGCGAAATGTGTGCATCGAGCCTTGTCTGATCTCGGAAGCACAGATCACAGCGCTGACACGCATAAGATATCCCAGCCGTACTGGATATCAACGTCATTTTGCGAGCGGTATCCAAAGGATGGAACTGCTCACTGTGCCTCAAGGTGGTATCTGTCTGCGTTGCCGCGTTGAGTGAACGTTCTGCCGAATTTATTAGAGGTTGGCGTCAACATAACAGCAGAATACTCACCTTCCGCACCACGTACATTCGAATCGCCTAAGGAAATTCATTTATGAAAGGACTGCTTGACTGGCGACAAACACGTACCGGATGCTCATGTGCGTGGTCTCGATATGCCGCTTGACGAAGTGCTTAGTAGACTTATACCCGCATGGCGTAGGTTCTGCGTCTTCCATCGTCTCATAAACACAATGCCACCGACTTGAATCCCCAGGAACCGGTTGCGCGAACTTGAGGTACTTCTTATCGTTGATCTGCACGGGAATCTTGGCAATCTCGAGTTTCACTCCACTACGGCTGAAGAACTCCTTGAGAGGTTCTTTGCCGGCCCCCTGATCAATTTCCCGTACGCGACAGACCGGGTAGTTTCCACCGTATCGTTCGTCCTCACTGGAGTCTTCGTCATTATCACCCTTGTGCGCGGAGCATAGTTGTTCATCGCATTCGGTCTCAATGGCATGGATGCGTTTCGGCGTTGTCCGATGCGGACCCAAGTGGGTCGCGTAGCCATCTAGCGAGGCTGCGGGGTTTCCTTTCCTGTTGGGTGACCTTAGCAATGCACACCATGCATACGTCTCGTAACTGCTTACCCATCAAGTGAGCAATGCTGACCGGAGCCACTGCCGCTAGATGGGGAAGACAGCGGACCCAGGAAGTCGTGGTAGAAGGACTGCCGAAGCAGCGATGGCGGTAAGAGCGCGTCGAATCCACTGAAAGGCGAAGTAGAAGCCTCAGTGCAACTGGAAGATAAGACATGGAGACGATCGCGCACTTTCGACGCGCTTCCTCTTGGCCATCAGAAACGTCGTGGTGGCCTGTAACCAGCCCTGACCGTACACCGCTCTCCCTGAAGCCTTCGCGAAGAGACGGCAACCTGGGCGGAGGAGAGCCATCATGAGCGTCCCTCAAGTACCTTCCTTCGCAGGTCGGAAGAGTACTCACTGCGATACCGAATATTGTTCGTGTTTAGAAGGGGGCGGGTCTTTGATTTGCGATTGACTGTCCAGTCTCGCGCTGTAGTCTGCCATAGTGAGGAGCAGCTCACGGCGCGCTACACGGACCCATCGGGGGAAGTAACAAGGACGTCGTCTAGGCTCTGGCGTGGACATCACAAGCTGCCACTGATGCACTGATGGTCCGTTCCCGACTTCGAACTTAGTTCGCGACTGTCGCGAGTTGGTCGCGAGCGCTTCTCCTGCGGATGGGCAGCTACTCAAGGTAGCATATGGTTTTGCCATATACTGATAGCGACGTGTTCCCCGGCTTGCAGGCATCGTCACCAATCGAAGCCGTTTGCCTGCACGGAGGACAAGAATAAACGTGGGTCTTGAGTTCGTGTGAAAGCGACCGGTGACATGACGCATCGCATCTTGCGCCCGGCGCGGCCGGTCGGTCAGCGCGGCGTCAGTGACTAGCCTCACCCCGTCATTTGTGGCTTCGTACGTCCAAGCCCCAGCCTTATTATGCGATCTGTTCCTCTGCGCAAGCAATGGGGACTGACCCCGCTTCTATTTCTGTATTGCGTCAATGAATACTAGCTTCGCTTCTCTCGCGACGAGCCACTACGTTTGCCGATCGGAGTCTCCACCTGAAAGCGAAACACTCGACTATGACTAGCCTGACGCTTGCATCAGCGAAGGGAATGCTACACTAACTGCATCCAATACAAATTCAGCCACGGCCACACGGACACTCATGAACGCTCCTATCATGACAAGTCGAATTAGCGCTCGCTACTCATGGCGCTCTCTGTCCGGCGATCACCATGCCAACTTCGATTGCCGCCCCCCCTCTTTCTCCACAACCACAAGGGGTGCGATCGCGCACAACACGCTACCCTGCGACGGCTGAAGCTCACAGTCAGCCCGTCTTGCGTGGGTGTAATTTTCCTGAATATAGTCGACGCCATCAATGGATATCAGTCGTGATGATTGCATGAAGCACCCAACCGTAAGTGGGACTGTCATCCGCAATATGACACAAAGAGCTAAGCGTGGTGTCAGGACTGGTATCACTTGTATCACCACGGATTACACACCATGACGGACACGCAAACACTCATCGAATATTCTGAAGAGGCGCACAATATAGCAAATCATCAGTGTATACCTAGACAGCTGGGGCAACCTTCGTACACAGCGGCGTACTACTCCCAATACCAGCCAGGGCTGTTCGGCCTCCTGACTAGCCCGGGGATCCAGCAGCAGAACTTCGATCCAGCCCCAGAGATGGACACGAGACACTACCAGTATCCCTCGTTCTTGACGTCGACTATATTTATGCCACCTCACATGCCGGAGGCTCTTGGACCTTTAGACCCAACGCACGTCTCCCTGTCACCGAAAACGCCCTCAGTACGCGCCCTGGGTTCTACATTTGAGGTTCCTGTTGTGGCACTACAACACGGCGATGCGACTCAACAGGCGTATGCAGAGTACCCACTGCACGCCGCACCTGTACAGGGTCAGTGTGAAAACGAAGACCTCGAGGCTGCGTCAGCCACACTTACTGCGCCAACTGCGCTAGAGCGTGACTTCGCCCACAACAATGCTCCGGGTGCCGAAGTTCGCCTGCCACACACAACGTCGTGCGGTCCGGGCCAGCGCGGAATAATTCCCCCCTCTCCACCCGTATCATTGAAGGCGACATCGATCGAGCATGATCCCGCAATTCCACAAGCGCATACTCTGACAACACAGGGCCAGCCGCTTTGTGATGCCATCAAGCAACCCTCGTATTTGCTTGGAAACGTCGACGGTGTCTGCGCTCCATCCTTGCAGTCGAGCTCCGTCGACGTATGCGGAGCATCTCTCGAACTACTAGCAATCCCTCGAAGAGTTTCGCCGCCGCCGCCGCCATCCCCGACGTCTTTTCGTTGTCATCGGCCAAACTGCAATAGGTCTTTCGCGAAGAAAAGAAGTTTGAAATATCACCTCGAGATCGGCTGGTGTGCCGGTGCGCCATCTAGCGAAACCAGGGCTACGCAAGCTGTACTTGCTCAACGGGGGCTGTCGGATGAGAACGACCTCTCTAAGGACCAGGCGCGGGAAGTTCAAGACGAAGTTCAACGTCGCCTCCGCCCCTTTGCGTGCAACGTAGATGGGTGCACACATCGATACAAGGGCATGAGCGGCTTGTGTTATCATTATCGCCGCTCGGGACAGCATGGACTCAATGGCCTTCGTCTTCTCGCATCTGGACAGCACGAATGCCTTCAAAATCGCACTGGCCGTGCTCTCCATGCAACTCAGACGGCAGCAACGGCGGAGCTGGCAATATTCGATGATGAAAGAGATGTATCTGCGTCTGTCTCTGGTGCATTGGAGGAACCGCCCGTTCCCGGGGTGTGATGCAATGCCGGGTTGAGATGAGTTAGACCGAAACTTTGGCTCTCTGTCATCGTCTCCTCAACCTCATCTTGGTTTCTCTTGATACAGCTTTGAGTATACTTTTCTGATTGATGTATCAGTCCCCCTGTATCGCATTGTGGAGAATATACACACGTAGATGATTCTCCAGGTGTACAACACGATTCTTAGAGATTATGGTCGATGTATATGAGCCCCGAACTGTGGAGAGTGCGCACTGGATTAAGGGAGAGTGGACAGTGAAACGGTCTGTTGTCGCCCGATTTGAGGGCCACACGGCAATGCCTCCCTCCACCATGTCATGGCCCGGTCGGTCGAGGGGTGGAGGCACGAGGCAGTGAGACCACGCCTACGTCCAGTTGGCGAGCGCGCGCGGGTCTTTCTTGCGTGTCCCTCCTTCCGACTACCACCACCGCAATTTTGGCGTTAGCGTTTCCGCGTACTCTGCGCACATTTTCAATCTCTCGCTTCTCTCTGTCCCCTCCCACGTCACGGACACTACTTGTATCACCCACTTGACTTGACTCACTCGCATTGTACTCAATCCTCACGCTGTATGATCGTTACCCTCACAGATCGAATACATACACTTGCATCCTTCCTTCTAGCCAGACCACTCACGTGGGTTCTTGTCTCCCGAATCGTGGCCGTGAGGATCCCACCTGCCCAGGCGGCTGCGCTCCTCACGCCGCGTCGGCGTCGGCTGTCGTCGACATTCGCCCAACCTGCAGGGAGCAGGAAACCCCGCGGGTAGACGAAGTTGGACCGCTTCACGCTCACTCTTGCTCAGCGCGCACATACACTAATGGCCCTGATATAGGGAGATCCGGTCCCCTCGGGAAGAAAATAAGACTTACCTCGGCTTCCGGGACAGGCGCGGGATGCAGGCGCGACTGCGGCTTCCCTCGGCGTAGGGTTGGGTGTGGGCTTCTCGAGCAGTGGGGCGGGGGCAGGATTCTTGGGCGGTCGGACGGTCGTGGACGATGGGGTTACTCGCGGGCGCGGGTGCCGTCTTCTTCGGCTCTGGCGCTGGGGGATCGACCGCCCTTGCCTTGCCTTTGTCCTGCGAGGCATTGGTGCCGGTGTTGATTAGGAAGACATGGGTAAGCGATATCCCTTGGACTTGGAACGGGTGGACGAATTGTTGATGCTGGTGCAGGCCCATCGTTCTCGCTGCAGTCCTCGCTTGAGGGAGCAGCGGAGGCGCGGCGCGCGAAGGCGCGTTTGTACTTCTTCGGGATCATGGGGTCGACGACCTCGGGGTGCCGACGACCTCAGGCTTCTACACGTGGGATGAGAATATTTGCGGTATCACACCCGGGGCCCGACGTGTCGATTCTGCACAGCCTTGAGCTAGCGTCGTGGCCGATGCTTCTCATTGCCGGATTGGTGTACTTGCGTTTGGAATCCTCTTGCGTGCAAGGCATCCACCACATGCATCCCCTCGCGTTTCTGGTGGTGGTGTATACAGCGTTTGACGCGCTGCCCCCGTCGACCTCGGGCCATGGGAGCTCCTATGTGGCGGCCCTGCATCACACCACTGCAACCCGCTCAGTATCCCCTTGGTCTTTTTGAGTAACCCAACTCCCCGCGCAACGCCTATTCATATTCAACGGTCACCTACCTCTCCTCGTCGAGCTCGCATCTGGCTTTCTCCTCGTGCTCTGGCTAGTTCAAGACCAGCCAAACCACCAGTTTAGGCCGGATTGAACTCCAACGCGCAAGCAACGCCGGCAGGCGTGCGCCGACGTCTTCGTACTTGGCCTCTCGCAGAAGATTCTACTCGTACGTCAATCTATTCATCGTCGATCCTTCACCCTTTGCTAAAAATGTCCGTAGGTGTCCCTTACGGCGCAACTACTGTCTAGATTAACCGCGAGCTCGAACGACGCTGCCTTTTTACTCTCCTCGCGCAGAACTTCTCACCTCGTGCGCGTTCTGCTCTCGATGGGGCTTCACGCGCGTCTACGGCCACTATTTTCTCACCACAATCTCGCACGCTCGAGCTTAAGTAATATTGCTACCGTCCATGTGCGCTACGGGGCCGCTGGTGGTCCATGCGGGTCTGTGGAGGCCGAGCCATCCAACGGCAGGGGCGCCGCATTCTTCTGCGATCATTGCTACAGGCGCTTCTCGATGCAAAGGTGCTCTTCAGATTCATCAGATTCTTTTCACGTAGGGCTGATGTCGACCTACCAGCGGAGGATCTTCCTTACAACCCGCCTTATCTCTGGATGCAACGCCACAATTCAACATTCGGGGATACCGCCGCGAATCCACGCCTGCCCAGTGTGAATGTGCCCATAGAGGTGGACGTCGAGCTCACCGTGTCGAGATGTTTACACGGCGCGAAGGCCATCGACGGGAACTTAAAGTGCGCCCCTCCGAACTTATCGGCTTCGACTCTTCAGCAAAGGCATCTCAAGCCATTCGCGCGTTACTAGAACCGAACACCAGGGCATCTGCCGCGGCCTCTTCGGTGTCATCGTGATTGTTCATCTACCGCATAAGCGCGGTGTCCCCAACGGCTGTACGCGTGGGCCTCACGTGAGGTCGTTGATCGGCCAACTCGGCACCCTCTATACCCTCGCGCATATCACCAACCCTTCGTCCCCCAAGGCGGCCAACGTGGCGCTTGCCCAGCAACTCGGTAGGAAGGGCAAGACTATGCCAGCCATCACGATTTTCGGCTTTGACACCAACCGCGCCCCCGAGAAGTCAAGGGCCGGACGTGGCGGATCCAAGTTAGGCGCGGCCCAATGAGGTTCGACGACTGTGTGCAGTAGCTCCGACATACCCCAGTGGTTCGACCACCGCACGTCATCTGTCGTCGCTCTCAATAATGCGCCGAAGTGGGAGGCCCTCCGTGTCATTCGTCGCATTGTCGTCCAAATCGGTTGCATCATTTGTACGAAAGGCTGGCCGATGCTGTGGGACCCGAGCTTGGATTTGGAGAGGGCGCGGCGTGAGTGGCTTCTGGACTTCAGGGTATTCCTGTCCAAGCACGCCGCGTACGCTGAGACGATGGACGACAACATGAAGAGGCTTGGAGAGTATAGTTGGTCATTGGCCCACGAGCTTGTAGTAGAGCAGTGGCACCTGCCTTCGCTCAACGCTGTACAACAGCGAGCTCGAGAAGCGCATGTTCCGGCGCTACTCCCTCGCAATACTGAAGTGCGGGCAAATACTGCCCGCGTTCTACTACCAGCATTTGTCGGGCACGCGCCCTAGGTGCGCCGCGTGCAACACGCCGCCGATCTCTTCAGAAGCTGACTGGGACTGGGAGGACGAGTACGACAACCACGAGTATTTAGACGGCCCGGGCCAGTGCTAGCCATGAGTCTGTCGCTCGACACGCTACTACGTTCTCCCTCTTACCCTACCGCTTTGTGATTCATTCTTGTTTTCCTCATTCAGAAGTACGTTGACAATGCGAGAAATCACGTGTACTGGCTTCATCTGTAGCGTACCGTTAATCTTACACCCCTGCCTGTTCTCACGTTTTTGCTCATCTATCGTACCCCTTTCCTTGTCGTCTATACAGCATCTAATAATGGTGAACATCCTCACACTGACACAATACTCTCTCGTTTGAATTGAATCTAATACCTAGAGTCCAACAAAGACGCATTCTTTGCAACCATGTGAGCCGTCATCATCAGCTCACTAGCGTCCACACTCGGTGAGCTATCCTTATTTTCGTTTACCGGCTGCTGCTGATTTGCGACGGCTTAGGGAGTTGAGGTTTCTTGAGTCTGCGATGCTCGTAATCTGGTTCGTGTCGGATCTGAAGGGGAGATCGGGCCGAGCGACGAATCAGACGCACAACAGCAAGATTTATCTGAGTGTAACTCAGCTTTTATATCGGTCTATTAATACCAAGCACATGGGTTCTGCGAGTGAAAGTCCGGGCACGAAGAGTACGAGGGAGGCGGCGACGCGAGTTGCGATACACGCGGCAACACACGTGTGCGCGTCAATCAAACACGCGACTCGAAGCTGCGGCATCAACGCGCCTTCGCTTCCGGTCCTCCTCGGCGGTCTTCCACATACTTACTGGGCGCCGCTGAACAGTTCTACTTGACCGCTATACCACGAAGCTCAAGGAGTAGTTAACGGGACGGGAGGGTAGGAGACGAAGGCTCAGATCTCCGGTCGACGGAGAAGAGATGGGAATAAAGCCGTGCGAATGTTGTAGGGAAAATGTTTAGGCACCACGGCGGGTATTTGCCAACGATACTGTTGACATACAGGAATCGAGACATTGTAACGCGAGTAGAAATGGTATGAGTTATCCAAACTACATCGTAAATTCGAGGGCAGGGTAGAGCGTTGGGTCGTCACCACGATTCTGCGTTCGAAGCCATCCGTTGCCGTGCTCCCAGTTCTCTATCTCTTCCTCCGCAAGCGCCAACCGACGTGTGAGCGCCTCATACTCGAGTTGACGGTCGCTCATAGAATCGTAGATCTCTTCATGGAGCATTCGACCCGCGGCCACAATGGAAGATGATTGGTGCGGGCTCAACGCGCGAAGTCTGCTGAAGCTACCCTCCAGGTCGATTTGTACAAGGGGCAGCGTAAGCGTCCTGACGAAATCGTGCTGCATACTGCGAACATGATTTCGATATACGGTCAGGCCCCCGTACTCCCAGAAGCGCGTCTCGTGGGCCCATCTGCGAGCTTGTACAGACAGCGCGAGCTGGAGGCACTGACGCGCGGATTCTTCATGTCGGCGCGCCCGCACACCGTCGATCGAATTTGACCGTAAGATTCGGGCAAGATTGATAGGCTCCCACATGAAGGAGATCTACAAGTGATTAGACGTTGTATGTGCAAAGAACGGCTATGAGCAACGTACGAGACCATCGGGGGCCTGACCGCGGATCCAACAGCGTAAGCCTATGTCGCGCAAGTGGGATTCGTAGTGGCGCAGGCCTATAATGTCCACAACGTTTTGGACGAACTCGCGACGCGCACGGTACCGCCCGTCGACGAGGCTCACAAACTCGGAAGCAACATCGTCTGCGAGAAAGTTGGACTCAGATGCGGCTGCTGCTATCTGACAGACAGCTTCTCCTGCCGCAGGAGATAAGCTGACGAGATCTTCGGAATAAGAGCATTGAGTGTGAGGACACCTCCACCAGCGCGAATAGAGGGTATACACTCGAGACGGGCGCTCGACAAGAGCAGGATAGAACTCGGAGATCGCTTGCAGGATGTAAGGTGCCGAAACTGGGTGGCGAGAGTGCCTCGGAATGTGTTCATCCTCGTTGACCAGAACGACACGGCGTATTGAGACAGGCGGATCGGACCCGGCAGCATCGGAGCGGGATAGACCCTCGGGCCATTTGAGCTCAGCGCTCTCCAAATCTTGCGGGTGTGTATAAGGTGTTCGTACTCGGTAGATGTGACGAAGGGCGACGTCGGTCTGACTGAAGTGAGCGCTGATATTAAGACCTTGACAATTTTCGCACTTACCATCGCGGCCCACGTCTCTGCGTTATCGGGAGCCGGATCTCGAGGGTGCTCAAGATCGTCTTCTCCGTCAGACGCAGAAGAGACAAGACTGGCGGCCGAGAGGTTGTCACCTTCTGAGACATCGTTGCAGTTACGATCCTCCATTTCACGGTGTGGGCTGGAATTTTCCTTGTTCGACTGGACAACGAACGATCTCAGTCAGGAGGCGATGGAGGATGACTGCAGAATGCGTCTCACCGGTACCGTTTGACATTCTTATACCGCGGTATCGGGCATGAACACCTCTCACTGGCGATCATTACTCAATCAAGATGCTGGTGGCCAGGCGCCCCTTGCCGAACGTAGGATCCTCGATACGGCAGTGACAGGCTGTGCCCTACCCCATGGCCACATGTCAGAATTACTCAACAGCCCATATCAGTTGTACTAGCGGACCTTTTGCTCCAGGCTGTAGAGTCTCTGCGTCTATATCACCTCTCACGAGGCCCGTCAGTATCCGTTCGCACGATTCCCGACAGCTGGCGTATTGGGTGTGAACACAGCTATATGAGACGATGACAGTCGAGAAGCGAAGAAGCACGCGGTAGTGTATCCCGGCGAAGCCCGAAGCGTGCAACCTTGATTTGATGAGAGCGTCGGCGGGTGAGTAGTTTCGCTCGTCACCTCGTCCTCGAAGGTTAGCAGGCAAGCACGCATAAGATCAAAAACTTTTAGCCCACCTGTGTTTGCTCTGTCAAGCTACCTCTCTAGGGATTCTGACATTCGTAACACGGTCGAGAAGTCAAGTCTTAGATCGGGCCCGGCTAGAGCGCTGAGCACTACACTTGCAATGATTCATCAAGCGATGGACTCACGTACTCCTTCGCAGTGACTCCGTCTTGTGCCCACCCCATCTCGGGCGACGCTCCATCTCGTGCGACGCTCCATCTCGTGCGAGCATCTTTCATTCTCATCTCGTTGAGGTTCAGGGACCAAAGCGTTGGACTTCGCAAGGACGACAGAACCAGCTCCAGCCCCGCTGGACCGTTAAGTATGGTACTCCCACGCAAAGCATGTTACAAGAACATTAACATTGAAAGAGGGCGATAGTATACCGTGTAAACTCAAACGAGCGCCCCGAGGCTATCCCGAGCTTGCAGGGTCGCGCCCACTGGTGATCTCAAACCGCACTGAATTCCTTCGTCTTCGGTTATCGGACAATGCTTCGGCCCTGCCTCAAGTGTGCGCGATCTGCGGGTGGCTTATACTTACGTCTACGAGCAAGTGCAAGACAGCGATGCGCCAAGCCGGTTGGTATTGAAGAAAACTTTGATCAACTCATGGTGCGGCGGCATTGTTTCAAAACCTGCACTGATGGGCGCATCACAATGTGTCCGCCACAATTCTTCAAGCGTTTATCTTCTCCATTGGCTAGCGATATTGCCAGGCCGCCCCAGTCGAAGGGGGAAGGCGGGATTCTTACTCCGGCAAATGTGAGGACAAACAGCCTGCCGCGTCATGCCTACCCCTACTCCGCTAGAGCGATCATCGATCAACGCTTCACGGTTTGCACGTTTCATCAATACTTCTATAATCCTGGGAAGCCTTCCTAAGCACCTATATATTGCCCTCCATCAACTTGTCGATCCGACTCGTACTTTCATCCCTGACCTCCATGCGCTTCATTCTCCCTCATATGTTCCCTGCCATGTTGCACTACATGAATATGTCTAATCGGAATCCAGTCATGAATCTTTACTGCTACCTCGAGTACCTTCTCATGGCACAGATCAAGGCTGGAGAAGGCGTGGTCAATCTTGATGAGGGTCCACAACCGGTCGCCTTCATGGACTTCTATGACTACGTGCGCGACAATCCAGGTCGTATCCGAGGAGAACGTATACACATCATATTCGTTGGGCGCGAAATTGGCATTACTTCTGAACAGTATGAGCTCGCAGCTTCGACTCTTGCATGCACTGCTAATGTCTCGTAGGTCTAGGCGTGACGCCGCTGTGGCTGGTTACCCCGATGCTTATTCTGTTCGTACCACTTCCATGCTAAGAGCGTATTCTATATGGCGCTACTGGCTTCGTCTACTCGCCAAGCTTGTGTACCAGCATCCAGAGCTGGATCAGGCTGGCATTGTCGAACTTGGACGGCAAAGACTCCCTACCGCGGATGCGTTAGAGGCGTCTGTCGAGACCGAGTTTCATCCAGATGCTCCTGCAATGTTTGCTCCCCCGCCGAAGGTGATTGCGACGACTCTCTCATCGAGTAATGTTCTGACTATTGCAGGAAATTCATATCGATATCCAGGACGACTCGTCCGATGAAGCCCTTTCTGATTCCAGTGACGTTTCCGAGGACCCCGGCAGCTTCAATGATTCCGATGCCGGCGAGGTTGGAGGATATGCTAGTGTGAACTGCCCATGAGGTCTAGCTACACCTTCTCAATGTCACTATATCTTCCACGTTCTTGTGCTCCCTGTGTAATTCCACTCACCTTGTGCGATCCACCTCTTACATCTATTCGAACTGGCATTGCCGTTCCATGTGCAGTTAGTATTGGCCCGTTGCGGCGGCCTGTATCTTCCGCTCGCTATAGTGGCACACATCCGAGAGCAACTTACAGCCTCATGTCAGAGCTTACGCTGGGTGCAAAGTACGGCTTTGGGCCTATTTGGACAGCTGCAAACGGGCAGCCCGTACGGAGGACGGGTCCGCGCTAGTGTTACAGGACGAAGCAGAGAGACCAAGCTGCGGCCTGCGTTGGATTCTGGGGTCGAAACACTGTAGCATCCATTTCGAAGAAACAAGCAGGGTGGAGATCGAAACTATTCGCGGGTGACATAGTCGCGCCATACAATGGCGGTATACATTTCCATAAAGCACTAGATAGTATGGGATTCCAGCGTCCGAAACGAGCGACGGGCATGCACCGCAACCAACTATCTATTCAGGGCGCCTCTTGACCGCCGCCTTCCACGTCTCGCACGACGAGAACCACGCCGGGTCCTTTTCTGCGATGGTTATTGCGGGAAGATTACGCCCACTCTTGCGTATATTGAAGTCGGCCTCCTGCAAAACTTTGCCACCCACTTTGCTGTAGTGCACGTACGTAATCGCGCGGTTCCTGGAGTGCAATGAGCGAGATACAAGGATAACGCTATAACATGCGGCAAACGTACCTGAGAGCAGCTTTGTCAAATGCCCAGCCCTGGAAAGTCACATCGCGCGATCCCTTTGTTGAAGCCTTTGCCTTCACCGGCGCCGGCGGCGCCGGCGGCGGGGGAGCAGGCTTACTCTTGACACGCTGCGGACGCTTCTGACGCTGACGCGTATCACCTGCCGACCCGTCTTTGCCACTCTCGAGCTGCTTCTTCGAACGTTTAGGCGGAGGAGGGTCAGTCGGGTCATCGACGGTCGCGGTGCGCTTGCGGCCGCGTGTGGGCGGCTCAACTACATCAGTCGCCACTTCAGAAACGTCGTCAATGATTGGGATAGGCGACGCAGCGGACGATCGGAGCGGCGGTAGGGTGGCCTCTGGGGACATCGGGAAAGACGAGGGGGACGCCCCCGAGGTAACAGACGGTGTTACGGCTTCATTTCCCTTCGCACGCAGCGAAGCAGTAGATGAAGAGCTTGACACCGCAGCCGCGTGCGTTCCCGTCCGAGCCGATTCTTCATCATCTCGTCCGCGCCCCTCGGACCTCGCTGAGTTGGAAGGCGAAGATATCTGTCGCGAGGCAGCGGGTCCGACCAAGAACGTGAATGGATCTTCTGAGACGATGCTGCAATGTTCCTGCAACTTCGCAACGAAGTCATACAGCACGGGCACATTCTTGAGGGCGCCCCGATCAAAACACATGTAGCTATATCGTTGCGCGTCGTAAAAGGCGGAGGGGTCCTTCACTATGTGATCCCAGGGTATGCCATCGGGATGTCGGGACCTCCTTGCATGAGCTTATATAGAGAGGTCAGAACTCAGACTCTGAGCGCAGTAACGAATGCAACATACACCACAACTGAACCAAGTATTCCACGGCATAGTCCATGAGTGCGCCGGGTGAAAGAGACCATGGGTCAATCGAAGGGAAGACAGGGATGCCGAAGGAGTTCTGGGGAATGACGATCTTCGAAGAAGAGCGGGCGGTAGGTGGGGTGGCATCTACTCAGGTCATTGATGATCCTGGCAGTCGCAGGGACAAGAGACTTACGCGGAAGGTTGTCATCTGCATACTGGTCCCACGCCTCCTTGAACGCCGTGAGCTTATCTTCTTCGCCCTCGCCCATACCGAATTCAAAAATGTCATCAGTAGCTTGACCTTGGAAGCTAATGAAAGGTCGTTTAATACGACACCGCGACGTTAAGGAACAGACATGCGTACACGATGGAGCGCCTATTCCCATCACCGTCGCGGTATGCGATAATCGAGATGGCGAGTAGACCACCCAGTGCTGGGGCTCGACAAATCTTGTCCAGTGACGGACCGAAGTGAGAAGCGAGTGATTTCTGCCGTCTGACAGAGCAAGAATCAACCGCAAAGACACGAGGAAAAGCAAGAAACGTCACGCACTGCTCTATAGAGAATACACCAGCGGCGACCTTGGCCTCGTACGCAGTAAGCAGGTCTTCATCGATGCCAAGCCACATCTCCGTCAGACGCGCTTTGTATGCCGCGTCGTCTCCGTTAGGGATTGACTTGAGAATATCGTCACGGACATCCGCCTCGTACAGATCAATGGCTGTAGGTGTAGGCGCAACGATGTCGAGTATGGAACTGATCGGCCGTTTCTGCGGGGAGCCGGCCATTCTCAACTTCCGGTAATAATTGCGGAACATCCTATCGACAGCCTATGTGAAGGACGCATTAACACCACAGGACTAGACACGAAGGAAAGGAGAAGGCTCACTTTCTTGTGGGCATCGGTAATGGTGCCGACGGTGAACAATATGTGCTCCTTGAAGAGACGGGCTTGCCTGTCCGAAGCCCATTGCGTGACAGATGAGTAGCCTGAGAATTTCGGATCGAGTTTCGTGACGGCCGTCGTGAACTCAGTCTTGAGGATGTCGCCAATGACAGCGACTTGCGCCTTGTTAAGGGTGAGATGTTTCGAGCCAGCCATGGTTGTGAGGAAACGATGAGAGAGCGCAACTGATCACGTTCCCTCCGATTAAGTAGACAGAACACTAAGCACGTGATCGGATGTAGTGTTCGCAGGGTGCTCCAACCCAGTCAAGTAAGGGACCAATCAATGCTGTGTTATACAGTTCGGGCGAGCTTCGAACAGCGCCCAAAATCAACACCCAACGCGAGAGGGCGAGGAGCGTGGGCAGGTTCTTCCCATGAGTGCGCAAGGCCGGCTGGAAGAGGCGCCGTGTACATGGCATGTTGCGGATCGCGGCAGATATACGATTGAAGTCATCGAGGTTGCGTCCAAGTCGCGCGAGGCGCGGGCACTCAACGGCGGCGGGCAGGAGGGCGGATCACTTGGCTCGAACCACGATGTCCGGCCTTCGTCTTTCGCTGTCCAGA